TAACACACTAAAGATTGTGTGATTTGGTCACACTAAAGATTGTGTGATTTGGTCACACATTAAAGATTGTGTGATTTGGTCACACTAAAGATTGTGTGATTTGGTCACACACTAAAGATTGTGTGATTTGCTCACACACTAAAGATTGTGTGATTTGGTCACACACTAAAGATTGTGTGATTTGGTCACACACTAAAGATTGTGTGATTTGCTCACACACTAAAGATTGTGTGATTTGCTCACACACTAAAGATTGTGTGATTTGCTCACACACTAAAGATTGTGTGATTTGGTCACACACTAAAGATTGTGTGATTTGGTCACACACTAAAGATTGTGTGATTTGCTCACACACTAAAGATTGTGTGATTTGCTCACACACTAAAGATTGTGTGATTTGCTCACATACTAAAGATTGTGTGATTTGGTCACACACTAAAGATTGTGTGATTTGGTCACACACTAAAGATTGTGTGATTTGCTCACACACTAAAGATTGTGTGATTTGCTCACACACTAAAGATTGTGTGATTTGGTCACACACTAAAGATTGTGTGATTTGGTCACACATTAAAGATTGTGTGATTTGGTCACATTAAAGATTGTGTGATTTGGTCACACTAAAGATTGTGTGATTTGGTCACACACTAAAGATTGTGTGATTTGGTCACACATTAAAGATTGTGTGATTTGGTCACATTAAAGATTGTGTGATTTGGTCACACACTAAAGATTGTGTGATTTGGTCACACACTAAAGATTGTGTGATTTGGTCACACACTAAAGATTGTGTGATTTGGTCACACACTAAAGATTGTGTGATTTGGTCACACACTAAAGATTGTGTGATTTGCTCACACACTAAAGATTGTGTGATTTGGTCACATTAAAGATTGTGTGATTTGGTCACACACTAAAGATTGTGTGATTTGGTCACACACTAAAGATTGTGTGATTTGGTCACACACTAAAGATTGTGTGATTTGGTCACACACTAAAGATTGTGTGATTTGGTCACATTAAAGATTGTGTGATTTGCTCACACACTAAAGATTGTGTGATTTGGTCACACACTTAAGATTGTGTGATTTGCTCACACATTAAAGATTGTGTGATTTGGTCACACACTAAAGATTGTGTGATTTGGTCACACACTAAAGATTGTGTGATTTGCTCACACACTAAAGATTGTGTGATTTGCTCACACACTAAAGATTGTGTGATTTGGTCACACACTAAAGATTGTGTGATTTGGTCACACACTAAAGATTGTGTGATTTGGTCACACATTAAAGATTGTGTGATTTGGTCACATTAAAGATTGTGTGATTTGGTCACACACTAAAGATTGTGTGATTTGGTCACACACTAAAGATTGTGTGATTTGGTCACACACTAAAGATTGTGTGATTTGGTCACACACTAAAGATTGTGTGATTTGGTCACATTAAAGATTGTGTGATTTGCTCACACACTAAAGATTGTGTGATTTGGTCACACATTAAAGATTGTGTGATTTGGTCACATTAAAGATTGTGTGATTTGGTCACACACTAAAGATTGTGTGATTTGGTCACACACTAAAGATTGTGTGATTTGGTCACACACTAAAGATTGTGTGATTTGGTCACACACTAAAGATTGTGTGATTTGGTCACATTAAAGATTGTGTGATTTGCTCACACACTAAAGATTGTGTGATTTGGTCACACACTTAAGATTGTGTGATTTGCTCACACATTAAAGATTGTGTGATTTGGTCACACACTAAAGATTGTGTGATTTGGTCACACACTTAAGATTGTGTGATTTGGTCACACACTTAAGATTGTGTGATTTGGTCACACACTTAAGATTGTGTGATTTGCTCACACATTAAAGATTGTGTGATTTGGTCACACACTAAAGATTGTGTGATTTGGTCACACACTAAAGATTGTGTGATTTGGTCACACACTAAAGATTGTGTGATTTGGTCACACACTTAAGATTGTGTGATTTGCTCACACATTAAAGATTGTGTGATTTGCTCACACCTTAAAGATTGTGTGATTTGGTCACACTAAAGATTGTGTGATTTGGTCACACATTAAAGGTTGTGTGATTTGCTCACACACTAAAGATTGTGTGATTTGGTCACACTAAAGATTGTGTGATTAGCTCACACCTTAAAGATTGTGTGATTTGGTCACACACTAAAGATTGTGTGATTTGCTCACACACTAAAGATTGTGTGATTTGGTCACACACTAAAGATTGTGTGATTTGGTCACACATTAAAGATTGTGTGATTTGCTCACACATTAAAGATTGTGTGATTTGGTCACACACTAAAGATTGTGTGATTTGGTCACACACTAAAGATTGTGTGATTTGGTCACACTAAAGATTGTGTGATTTGCTCACACATTAAAGATTGTGTGATTTGGTCACACACAAAAGATTATGTGATTTGGTCACACACTAAAGATTGTGTGATTTGCTCACACATTAAAGATTGTGTGATTTGGTCACACACTAAAGATTGTGTGATTTGCTCACACACTAAAGATTGTGTGATTTGGTCACACACTAAAGATTGTGTGATTTGGTCACACTAAAGATTGTGTGATTTGGTCACACACTAAAGATTGTGTGATTTGGTCACATTAAAGATTGTGTGATTTGGTCACACTAAAGATTGTGTGATTTGCTCACACACTAAAGATTGTGTGATTTGGTCACACACTAAAGATTGTGTGATTTGGTCACACCTTAAAGATTGTGTGATTTGCTCACACACTAAAGATTGTGTGATTTGGTCACACTAAAGATTGTGTGATTTGGTCACACTAAAGATTGTGTGATTTGCTCACACATTAAAGATTGTGTGATTTGGTCACACACAAAAGATTATGTGATTTGGTCACACACTAAAGATTGTGTGATTTGCTCACACATTAAAGATTGTGTGATTTGGTCACACACTAAAGATTGTGTGATTTGGTCACACACTAAAGATTGTGTGATTTGGTCACACATTAAAGATTGTGTGATTTGGTTACACACAAAAGATTATGTGATTTGCTCACACACTAAAGATTGTGTGATTTGGTCACACTAAAGATTGTGTGATTAGGTCACACCTTAAAGATTGTGTGATTTGGTCACACACTAAAGATTGTGTGATTTGGTCACACCTTAAAGATTGTGTGATTTGGTCACACACTAAAGATTGTGTGATTTGCTCACACATTAAAGATTGTGTGATTTGCACACACATTAAATATTGTGTGATTTGGTCACACTAAAGATTGTGTGATTTGGTCACACATTAATGATTGTGTGATTTGGTCACACATTAAAGATTGTGTGATTTGGTCACACATTAAAGATTGTGTGATTTGCTCACACACTAAAGATTGTGTGATTTGGTCACACATTAATGATTGTGTGATTTGGTCACACATTAATGATTGTGTGATTTGGTCACACATTAAAGATTGTGTGATTTGGTCACACACTAAAGATTGTGTGATTTGCTCACACACTAAAGATTGTGTGATTTGGTCACACATTAATGATTGTGTGATTTGGTCACACATTAATGATTGTGTGATTTGGTCACACATTAAAGATTGTGTGATTTGGTCACACACTAAAGATTGTGTGATTTGGTCACACACAAAAGATTGTGTGATTTGGTCACACACTAAAGATTGTGTGATTTGGTCACACACTAAAGATTGTGTGATTTGCTCACACACTAAAGATTGTGTGATTTGGTCACACACTAAAGATTGTGTGATTTGCTCACACATTAAAGATTGTGTGATTTGATCACACACTAAAGATTGTGTGATTTGGTCACACACTAAAGATTGTGTGATTTGATCACACTAAAGATTGTGTGATTTGATCACACACTAAAGATTGTGTGATTTGATCACACACTAAAGATTGTGTGATTTGCTCACACATTAAAGATTGTGTGATTTGCTCACACACTAAAGATTGTGTGATTTGGTCACATTAAAGATTGTGTGATTTGCTCACACACTAAAGATTGTGTGATTTGATCACACACTAAAGATTGTGTGATTTGCTCACACATTAAAGATTGTGTGATTTGGTCACACACTAAAGATTGTGTGATTTGGTCACACACTAAAGATTGTGTGATTTGGTCACATTAAAGATTGTGTGATTTGCTCACACACTAAAGATTGTGTGATTTGATCACACACTAAAGATTGTGTGATTTGCTCACACATTAAAGATTGTGTGATTTGCTCACACACTAAAGATTGTGTGATTTGGTCACATTAAAGATTGTGTGATTTGCTCACACACTAAAGATTGTGTGATTTGATCACACACTAAAGATTGTGTGATTTGCTCACACACTAAAGATTGTGTGATTTGATCACACACTAAAGATTGTGTGATTTGGTCACACACTAAAGATTGTGTGATTTGATCACACACTAAAGATTGTGTGATTTGATCACACACTAAAGATTGTGTGATTTGATCACACACTAAAGATTGTGTGATTTGCTCACACATTAAAGATTGTGTGATTTGCTCACACACTAAAGATTGTGTGATTTGGTCACACACTAAAGATTGTGTGATTTGGTCACACACTAAAGATTGTGTGATTTGGTCACACCTTAAAGATTGTGTGATTTGGTCACACACTAAAGATTGTGTGATTTGGTCACACACTAAAGATTGTGTGATTTGGTCACACACTAAAGATTGTGTGATTTGGTCACACACTAAAGATTGTGTGATTTGCTCACACACTAAAGATTGTGTGATTTGGTCACATACTAAAGATTGTGTGATTTGGTCACACACTAAAGATTGTGTGATTTGGTCACACACTAAAGATTGTGTGATTTGCTCACACATTAAAGATTGTGTGATTTGGTCTTTCTGTGTGAGCCAGAGTGTTTCACCTCTGTAGAATATTTTGTCCGCTTATATTTAAATGTCCTCCTGTTTTTCTACAGGGGTTTTTCCGTAGGTCTATCCAACAAAAGATACAGTACCGCCCCTGCCTGAAGAACCAGCAGTGCAATATCCAACGTGTCAACAGAAATAGGTGTCAGTACTGTCGGTGAGTTGGGTCTACTTGAATTTTGGTCATTACTGTCAATAGATGTCACTAGTGTTCAGTGTACTTGTATGAATAAATAGTAAGACAATTTAGTCTAATGTAAAGAATCTGTCAATGAAATGTCAGATAATATAAAAAACAGGGGTACCTAGAGATATCAGTGAAAAAACAGGGGTACCTAGAGATATCAGTGAAAAAACCTCATGTTTTACTTTTGTTACAATTTCTTGTTGTGCTGCTTGTCTTCATTGGTTTTGGAATAGTTCTACATGTAAAAACTGAATTTTTTCAGGCTCAAGAAATGTATATCAGTGGGGATGTCCAGAGATGGTAAGTCCTTTGTTTGATAGATAAAAATACCAATGTTTAAATATCTATCTTTAAGATGTTTACATGTAAAGTACTATTATTTTAAGGCTGATGGTAAATCAGCCATATAAGAAGCCCATGGAAAATTTTTAAATCTTCTCTAAAAGATACATTTTCCAAGTGGTATAACGAAACTTTTTCTACAGCTGTCAGATTTGGTCGTGTCCCCAAGAAAGAGAAGGCGCGCATCATTGAGCAGATGCAGAAGAAAAGTCTGGCATCACAGACCAGTGAACTGAATTCTCTGCTGGCCAATGATGTTGATGTCGTCCATGCAGTGGTCACCTCACACAGACAGACATGTGACATGACACATCTCCGCGCCCTCCAGATGAGGGAACAGGCCCTGGTCAACAAGGAGTTTGTCAACTGTCCAGCCAACATGGTCAGTCACTCACCAGACGCTGGGTCCATTTTTCTTTCACATCTTCATTGCAGTATGTCTACAAATTGGCTATTTTCTCTTTGGTTTAGGCCTGTCCATATGTCTACAAATTGGCTATTTTCTCTTTGGTTTAGGCCTGTCCATATGTCTACAAATTGGCTATTTTCTCTTTGGTTTAGGCCTGTCCATATGTCTACAAATTGGCTATTTTCTCTTTGGTTTAGGCCTGTCCATATGTCTACAAATTGGCTATTTTCTCTTTGGTTTAGGCCTGTCCATATGTCTACAAATTGGCTATTTTCTCTTTGGTTTAGGCCTGTCCATATGTCTACAAATTGGCTATTTTCTCTTTGGTTTAGGCCTGTCCATATGTCTACAAATTGGCTATTTTCTCTTTGGTTTAGGCCTGTCCATATGTCTACAAATTGGCTATTTTCTCTTTGGTTTAGGCCTGTCCATATGTCTACAAATTGGCTATTTTCTCTTTGGTTTAGGCCTGTCCATATGTCTACAAATTGGCTATTTTCTCTTTGGTTTAGGCCTGTCCATATGTCTACAAATTGGCTATTTTCTCTTTGGTTTAGGCCTGTCCATATGTCTACAAATTGGCTATTTTCTCTTTGGTTTAGGCCTGTCCATATGTCTACAAATTGGCTATTTTCTCTTTGGTTTAGGCCTGTCCATATGTCTACAAATTGGCTATTTTCTCTTTGGTTTAGGCCTGTCCATATGTCTACAAATTGGCTATTTTCTCTTTGGTTTAGGCCTGTCCATATGTCTACAAATTGGCTATTTTCTCTTTGGTTTAGGCCTGTCCATATGTCTACAAATTGGCTATTTTCTCTTTGGTTTAGGCCTGTCCATATGTCTACAAATTGGCTATTTTCTCTTTGGTTTAGGCCTGTCCATATGTCTACAAATTGGCTATTTTCTCTTTGGTTTAGGCCTGTCCATATGTCTACAAATTGGCTATTTTCTCTTTGGTTTAGGCCTGTCCATATGTCTACAAATTGGCTATTTTCTCTTTGGTTTAGGCCTGTCCATATGTCTACAAATTGGCTATTTTCTCTTTGGTTTAGGCCTGTCCATATGTCTACAAATTGGCTATTTTCTCTTTGGTTTAGGCCTGTCCATATGTCTACAAATTGGCTATTTTCTCTTTGGTTTAGGCCTGTCCATATGTCTACAAATTGGCTATTTTCTCTTTGGTTTAGGCCTGTCCATATGTCTACAAATTGGCTATTTTCTCTTTGGTTTAGGCCTGTCCATATGTCTACAAATTGGCTATTTTCTCTTTGGTTTAGGCCTGTCCATATGTCTACAAATTGGCTATTTTCTCTTTGGTTTAGGCCTGTCCATATGTCTACAAATTGGCTATTTTCTCTTTGGTTTAGGCCTGTCCATATGTCTACAAATTGGCTATTTTCTCTTTGGTTTAGGCCTGTCCATATGTCTACAAATTGGCTATTTTCTCTTTGGTTTAGGCCTGTCCATATGTCTACAAATTGGCTATTTTCTCTTTGGTTTAGGCCTGTCCATATGTCTACAAACTGGCTATTTTCTCTTTGGTTTAGGCCTGTCCATATGTCTACAAATTGGCTATTTTCTCTTTGGTTTAGGCCTGTCCATATGTCTACAAATTGGCTATTTTCTCTTTGGTTTAGGCCTGTCCATATGTCTACAAATTGGCTATTTTCTCTTTGGTTTAGGCCTGTCCATATGTCTACAAATTGGCTATTTTCTCTTTGGTTTAGGCCTGTCCATATGTCTACAAATTGGCTATTTTCTCTTTGGTTTAGGCCTGTCCATATGTCTACAAATTGGCTATTTTCTCTTTGGTTTAGGCCTGTCCATATGTCTACAAATTGGCTATTTTCTCTTTGGTTTAGGCCTGTCCATATGTCTACAAATTGGCTATTTTCTCTTTGGTTTAGGCCTGTCCATATGTCTACAAATTGGCTATTTTCTCTTTGGTTTAGGCCTGTCCATATGTCTACAAATTGGCTATTTTCTCTTTGGTTTAGGCCTGTCCATATGTCTACAAATTGGCTATTTTCTCTTTGGTTTAGGCCTGTCCATATGTCTACAAATTGGCTATTTTCTCTTTGGTTTAGGCCTGTCCATATGTCTACAAATTGGCTATTTTCTCTTTGGTTTAGGCCTGTCCATATGTCTACAAATTGGCTATTTTCTCTTTGGTTTAGGCCTGTCCATATGTCTACAAACTGGCTATTTTCTCTTTGGTTTAGGCCTGTCCATATGTCTACAAATTGGCTATTTTCTCTTTGGTTTAGGCCTGTCCATATGTCTACAAATTGGCTATTTTCTCTTTGGTTTAGGCCTGTCCATATGTCTACAAATTGGCTATTTTCTCTTTGGTTTAGGCCTGTCCATATGTCTACAAATTGGCTATTTTCTCTTTGGTTTAGGCCTGTCCATATGTCTACAAACTGGCTATTTTCTCTTTGGTTTAGGCCTGTCCATATGTCTACAAATTGGCTATTTTCTCTTTGGTTTAGGCCTGTCCATATGTCTACAAATTGGCTATTTTCTCTTTGGTTTAGGCCTGTCCATATGTCTACAAATTGGCTATTTTCTCTTTGGTTTAGGCCTGTCCATATGTCTACAAATTGGCTATTTTCTCTTTGGTTTAGGCCTGTCCATATGTCTACAAATTGGCTATTTTCTCTTTGGTTTAGGCCTGTCCATATGTCTACAAATTGGCTATTTTCTCTTTGGTTTAGGCCTGTCCATATGTCTACAAATTGGCTATTTTCTCTTTGGTTTAGGCCTGTCCATATGTCTACAAATTGGCTATTTTCTCTTTGGTTTAGGCCTGTCCATATGTCTACAAATTGGCTATTTTCTCTTTGGTTTAGGCCTGTCCATATGTCTACAAATTGGCTATTTTCTCTTTGGTTTAGGCCTGTCCATATGCCTACAAATTGGCTATTTTCTCTTTGGTTTAGGCCTGTCCATATGTCTACAAATTGGCTATTTTCTCTTTGGTTTAGGCCTGTCCATATGTCTACAAATTGGCTATTTTCTCTTTGATTTAGGCCTGTCCATATGCCTACAAATTGGCTATTTTCTCTTTCGTTTAGGCCTGTCCATATGTCTACAAATTGGCTATTTTCTCTTTGGTTTAGGCCTGTCCATATGTCTACAAATTGGCTATTTTCTCTTTGGTTTAGGCCTGTCCATATGTCTACAAATTGGCTATTTTCTCTTTGGTTTAGGCCTGTCCATATGTCTACAAATTGGCTATTTTCTCTTTGGTTTAGGCCTGTCCATATGTCTACAAATTGGCTATTTTCTCTTTGGTTTAGGCCTGTCCATATGTCTACAAATTGGCTATTTTCTCTTTGGTTTAGGCCTGTCCATATGTCTACAAATTGGCTATTTTCTCTTTGGTTTAGGCCTGTCCATATGTCTACAAATTGGCTATTTTCTCTTTGGTTTAGGCCTGTCCATATGTCTACAAATTGGCTATTTTCTCTTTGGTTTAGGCCTGTCCATATGTCTACAAATTGGCAATTTTCTCTTTGGTTTAGGCCTGTCCATATGTCTACAAATTGGCTATTTTCTCTTTGGTTTAGGCCTGTCCATATGTCTACAAATTGGCTATTTTCTCTTTGGTTTAGGCCTGTCCATATGTCTACAAATTGGCTATTTTCTCTTTGGTTTAGGCCTGTCCATATGTCTACAAATTGGCTATTTTCTCTTTGGTTTAGGCCTGTCCATATGTCTACAAATTGGCTATTTTCTCTTTGGTTTAGACCTGTCCATATGTCTACAAACTGGCTATTTTCTCTTTGGTTTAGGCCTGTCCATATGTCTACAAATTGGCTATTTTCTCTTTGATTTAGGCCTGTCCATATGTCTACAAATTGGCTATTTTCTCTTTGGTTTAGGCCTGTCCATATGTCTACAAATTGGCTATTTTCTCTTTGGTTTAGGCCTGTCCATATGTCTACAAATTGGCTATTTTCTCTTTGGTTTAGGCCTGTCCATATGTCTACAAATTGGCTATTTTCTCTTTGGTTTAGACCTGTCCATATGTCTACAAACTGGCTATTTTCTCTTTGGTTTAGGCCTGTCCATATGTCTACAAATTGGCTATTTTCTCTTTGGTTTAGGCCTGTCCATATGTCTACAAATTGGCTATTTTCTCTTTGGTTTAGACCTGTCCATATGTCTACAAACTGGCTATTTTCTCTTTGGTTTAGGCCTGTCCATATGTCTACAAATTGGCTATTTTCTCTTTGATTTAGGCCTGTCCATATGTCTACAAATTGGCTATTTTCTCTTTGGTTTAGGCCTGTCCATATGTCTACAAATTGGCTATTTTCTCTTTGGTTTAGGCCTGTCCATATGTCTACAAATTGGCTATTTTCTCTTTGGTTTAGGCCTGTCCATATGTCTACAAATTGGCTATTTTCTCTTTGGTTTAGGCCTGTCCATATGTCTACAAATTGGCTATTTTCTCTTTGGTTTAGACCTGTCCATATGTCTACAAACTGGCTATTTTCTCTTTGGTTTAGGCCTGTCCATATGTCTACAAACTGGCTATTTTCTCTTTGGTTTAGGCCTGTCCATATGTCTACAAATTGGCTATTTTCTCTTTGGTTTAGGCCTGTCCATATGTCTACAAATTGGCTATTTTCTCTTTGGTTTAGGCCTGTCCATATGTCTACAAATTGGCTATTTTCTCTTTGGTTTAGGCCTGTCCATATGTCTACAAATTGGCTATTTTCTCTTTGGTTTAGGCCTGTCCATATGTCTACAAATTGGCTATTTTCTCTTTGGTTAGGCCTGTCCATATGTCTACAAATTGGCTATTTTCTCTTTGGTTTAGGCCTGTCCATATGTCTACAAATTGGCTATTTTCTCTTTGGTTTAGGCCTGTCCATATGTCTACAAATTGGCTATTTTCTCTTTGGTTTAGGCCTGTCCATATGTCTACAAATTGGCTATTTTCTCTTTGGTTTAGGCCTGTCCATATGTCTACAAATTGGCTATTTTCTCTTTGGTTTAGACCTGTCCATATGTCTACAAACTGGCTATTTTCTCTTTGGTTTAGGCCTGTCCATATGTCTACAAATTGGCTATTTTCTCTTTGGTTTAGGCCTGTCCATATGTCTACAAATTGGCTATTTTCTCTTTGGTTTAGGCCTGTCCATATGTCTACAAATTGGCTATTTTCTCTTTGGTTTAGGCCTGTCCATATGTCTACAAATTGGCTATTTTCTCTTTGGTTTAGGCCTGTCCATATGTCTACAAATTGGCTATTTTCTCTTTGATTTAGGCCTGTCCATATGTCTACAAATTGGCTATTTTCTCTTTGGTTTAGGCCTGTCCATATGTCTACAAATTGGCTATTTTCTCTTTGGTTTAGGCCTGTCCATATGTCTACAAATTGGCTATTTTCTCTTTGGTTTAGGCCTGTCCATATGTCTACAAATTGGCTATTTTCTCTTTGGTTTAGGCCTGTCCATATGTCTACAAATTGGCTATTTTCTCTTTGGTTTAGGCCTGTCCATATGTCTACAAATTGGCTATTTTCTCTTTGGTTTAGGCCTGTCCATATGTCTACAAATTGGCTATTTTCTCTTTGGTTTAGGCCTGTCCATATGTCTACAAATTGGCTATTTTCTCTTTGGTTTAGGCCTGTCCATATGTCTACAAACTGGCTATTTTCTCTTTGGTTTAGGCCTGTCCATATGTCTACAAATTGGCTATTTTCTCTTTGGTTTAGGCCTGTCCATATGTCTACAAATTGGCTATTTTCTCTTTGGTTTAGGCCTGTCCATATGTCTACAAATTGGCTATTTTCTCTTTGGTTTAGGCCTGTCCATATGTCTACAAATTGGCTATTTTCTCTTTGGTTTAGGCCTGTCCATATGTCTACAAACTGGCTATTTTCTCTTTGGTTTAGGCCTGTCCATATGTCTACAAATTGGCTATTTTCTCTTTGGTTTAGGCCTGTCCATATGTCTACAAATTGGCTATTTTCTCTTTGGTTTAGGCCTGTCCATATGTCTACAAATTGGCTATTTTCTCTTTGGTTTAGGCCTGTCCATATGTCTACAAATTGGCTATTTTCTCTTTGGTTTAGGCCTGTCCATATGTCTACAAATTGGCTATTTTCTCTTTGGTTTAGGCCTGTCCATATGTCTACAAATTGGCTATTTTCTCTTTGGTTTAGGCCTGTCCATATGTCTACAAATTGGCTATTTTCTCTTTGGTTTAGGCCTGTCCATATGTCTACAAATTGGCTATTTTCTCTTTGGTTTAGGCCTGTCCATATGTCTACAAATTGGCTATTTTCTCTTTGGTTTAGGCCTGTCCATATGCCTACAAATTGGCTATTTTCTCTTTGGTTTAGGCCTGTCCATATGTCTACAAATTGGCTATTTTCTCTTTGGTTTAGGCCTGTCCATATGTCTACAAATTGGCTATTTTCTCTTTGATTTAGGCCTGTCCATATGCCTACAAATTGGCTATTTTCTCTTTCGTTTAGGCCTGTCCATATGTCTACAAATTGGCTATTTTCTCTTTGGTTTAGGCCTGTCCATATGTCTACAAATTGGCTATTTTCTCTTTGGTTTAGGCCTGTCCATATGTCTACAAATTGGCTATTTTCTCTTTGGTTTAGGCCTGTCCATATGTCTACAAATTGGCTATTTTCTCTTTGGTTTAGGCCTGTCCATATGTCTACAAATTGGCTATTTTCTCTTTGGTTTAGGCCTGTCCATATGTCTACAAATTGGCTATTTTCTCTTTGGTTTAGGCCTGTCCATATGTCTACAAATTGGCTATTTTCTCTTTGGTTTAGGCCTGTCCATATGTCTACAAATTGGCTATTTTCTCTTTGGTTTAGGCCTGTCCATATGTCTACAAATTGGCTATTTTCTCTTTGGTTTAGGCCTGTCCATATGTCTACAAATTGGCAATTTTCTCTTTGGTTTAGGCCTGTCCATATGTCTACAAATTGGCTATTTTCTCTTTGGTTTAGGCCTGTCCATATGTCTACAAATTGGCTATTTTCTCTTTGGTTTAGGCCTGTCCATATGTCTACAAATTGGCTATTTTCTCTTTGGTTTAGGCCTGTCCATATGTCTACAAATTGGCTATTTTCTCTTTGGTTTAGGCCTGTCCATATGTCTACAAATTGGCTATTTTCTCTTTGGTTTAGACCTGTCCATATGTCTACAAACTGGCTATTTTCTCTTTGGTTTAGGCCTGTCCATATGTCTACAAATTGGCTATTTTCTCTTTGATTTAGGCCTGTCCATATGTCTACAAATTGGCTATTTTCTCTTTGGTTTAGGCCTGTCCATATGTCTACAAATTGGCTATTTTCTCTTTGGTTTAGGCCTGTCCATATGTCTACAAATTGGCTATTTTCTCTTTGGTTTAGGCCTGTCCATATGTCTACAAATTGGCTATTTTCTCTTTGGTTTAGACCTGTCCATATGTCTACAAACTGGCTATTTTCTCTTTGGTTTAGGCCTGTCCATATGTCTACAAATTGGCTATTTTCTCTTTGGTTTAGGCCTGTCCATATGTCTACAAATTGGCTATTTTCTCTTTGGTTTAGACCTGTCCATATGTCTACAAACTGGCTATTTTCTCTTTGGTTTAGGCCTGTCCATATGTCTACAAATTGGCTATTTTCTCTTTGATTTAGGCCTGTCCATATGTCTACAAATTGGCTATTTTCTCTTTGGTTTAGGCCTGTCCATATGTCTACAAATTGGCTATTTTCTCTTTGGTTTAGGCCTGTCCATATGTCTACAAATTGGCTATTTTCTCTTTGGTTTAGGCCTGTCCATATGTCTACAAATTGGCTATTTTCTCTTTGGTTTAGGCCTGTCCATATGTCTACAAATTGGCTATTTTCTCTTTGGTTTAGACCTGTCCATATGTCTACAAACTGGCTATTTTCTCTTTGGTTTAGGCCTGTCCATATGTCTACAAACTGGCTATTTTCTCTTTGGTTTAGGCCTGTCCATATGTCTACAAATTGGCTATTTTCTCTTTGGTTTAGGCCTGTCCATATGTCTACAAATTGGCTATTTTCTCTTTGGTTTAGGCCTGTCCATATGTCTACAAATTGGCTATTTTCTCTTTGGTTTAGGCCTGTCCATATGTCTACAAATTGGCTATTTTCTCTTTGGTTTAGGCCTGTCCATATGTCTACAAATTGGCTATTTTCTCTTTGGTTAGGCCTGTCCATATGTCTACAAATTGGCTATTTTCTCTTTGGTTTAGGCCTGTCCATATGTCTACAAATTGGCTATTTTCTCTTTGGTTTAGGCCTGTCCATATGTCTACAAATTGGCTATTTTCTCTTTGGTTTAGGCCTGTCCATATGTCTACAAATTGGCTATTTTCTCTTTGGTTTAGGCCTGTCCATATGTCTACAAATTGGCTATTTTCTCTTTGGTTTAGACCTGTCCATATGTCTACAAACTGGCTATTTTCTCTTTGGTTTAGGCCTGTCCATATGTCTACAAATTGGCTATTTTCTCTTTGGTTTAGGCCTGTCCATATGTCTACAAATTGGCTATTTTCTCTTTGGTTTAGGCCTGTCCATATGTCTACAAATTGGCTATTTTCTCTTTGGTTTAGGCCTGTCCATATGTCTACAAATTGGCTATTTTCTCTTTGGTTTAGGCCTGTCCATATGTCTACAAATTGGCTATTTTCTCTTTGATTTAGGCCTGTCCATATGTCTACAAATTGGCTATTTTCTCTTTGGTTTAGGCCTGTCCATATGTCTACAAATTGGCTATTTTCTCTTTGGTTTAGGCCTGTCCATATGTCTACAAATTGGCTATTTTCTCTTTGGTTTAGGCCTGTCCATATGTCTACAAATTGGCTATTTTCTCTTTGGTTTAGGCCTGTCCATATGTCTACAAATTGGCTATTTTCTCTTTCATTTAGGCCTGTCCACTCAACAATGAGCTAGGCATGGACGCCAATGCCAACAGAAATAATTTGACCGACTTCTCTGAGAGTTTTACCCCAGCAATAAAGTCAGTTGTAGACTTTGCCAAGGGCATACCTGGCTTTGTGCTGCTCAACCAGGATGATCAGGTCACCCTACTCAAGGTCAGCCTTAGAACTTAGTGCTTAGGGAAGTTAGTCATTAGAAGAGGTTTATTTTGTCAAGGGTTTTCCTTTGGAAAACAGTTTAGTTGCTTGGACTATTATATGTGAGTTAATTTTCAATTTATGTTGACACATGACCATGTTGTCTGTCTATGTCCACTTGACCACTATGCTGACCACCATGTTGTCCTGCTGTCCACCTGACCTTGTTGTCCATGTATCCTCAGGCTGGCACATTTGAAGTGTTGCTGGTACGCCTGGCTTGTTTGTTTGACCCCAGTACAAGTACTATGATGTTCACTGGGGGAAAGCTTTACAAAAGGCAGCAGTCAACGGTAAGATTTCCTGACCTAGTACAGTCAACAGTAAGATTTCCTAACCTAGTACAGTCAACAGTAAGATTTCCTAACCTAGTACAGTCAACAGTAAGATTTCAACCATTTTGTCTAACCTAGTATTTCTACACTATATGTACAAATTTTGAAAGTGTTAAATTGGTATTTGTACAAAAAAAATGTATAAACTTTGTAAGTGTGTAAGCGAGTGTTTGAACAAAAACCATTGCGAGTATGTGAAAGCTAGTTGTACCCATGTGTAAGCTAGTTGTACCCATGTGTAAGCTAGTTGTACCCATGTGTAAGCTAGTTGTACCCATGTGTAAGCTAGTTGTACCCATGTGTAAGCTAGTTGTACCCATGTGTAAGCTAGTTGTACCCATGTGTAAGCTAGTTGTACCCATGTGTAAGCTAGTTGTACCCATGTGTAAGCTAGTTGTACCCATGTGTAAGCTAGTTGTACCCATGTGTAAGCTAGTTGTACCCATGTGTAAGCTAGTTGTACCCATGTGTAAGCTAGTTGTACCCATGTGTAAGCTAGTTGTACCCATGTGTAAGCTAGTTGTACCCATGTGTAAGCTAGTTGTACCCATGTGTAAGCTAGTTGTACCCATGTGTAAGCTAGTTGTACCCATGTGTAAGCTAGTTGTACCCATGTGTAAGCTAGTTGTACCCATGTGTAAGCTAGTTGTACCCATGTGTAAGCTAGTTGTACCCATGTGTAAGCTAGTTGTACCCATGTGTAAGCTAGTTGTACCCATGTGTAAGCTAGTTGTACCCATGTGTAAGCTAGTTGTACCCATGTGTAAGCTAGTTGTACCCATGTGTAAGCTAGTTGTACCCATGTGTAAGCTAGTTGTACCCATGTGTAAGCTAGTTGTACCCATGTGTAAGCTAGTTGTACCCATGTGTAAGCTAGTTGTACCCATGTGTAAGCTAGTTGTACCCATGTGTAAGCTAGTTGTACCCATGTGTAAGCTAGTTGTACCCATGTGTAAGCTAGTTGTACCCATGTGTAAGCTAGTTGTACCCATGTGTAAGCTAGTTGTACCCATGTGTAAGCTAGTTGTACCCATGTGTAAGCTAGTTGTACCCATGTGTAAGCTAGTTGTACCCATGTGTAAGCTAGTTGTACCCATGTGTAAGCTAGTTGTACCCATGTGTAAGCTAGTTGTACCCATGTGTAAGCTAGTTGTACCCATGTGTAAGCTAGTTGTACCCATGTGTAAGCTAGTTGTACCCATGTGTAAGCTAGTTGTACCCATGTGTAAGCTAGTTGTACCCATGTGTAAGCTAGTTGTACCCATGTGTAAGCTAGTTGTACCCATGTGTAAGCTAGTTGTACCCATGTGTAAGCTAGTTGTACCCATGTGTAAGCTAGTTGTACCCATGTGTAAGCTAGTTGTACCCATGTGTAAGCTAGTTGTACCCATGTGTAAGCTAGTTGTACCCTAATGTAGACACTTTGGTACAGGTGACAAGTAATGTTGGCTTCCTGCTAGACTCCATGTTTGACTTTGCTGAAAGGTTCAACAGGATGCTGCTCAATGATGATGAGATTGCCATGTTTTCTGCTGTGGTCCTCATGTCACCAGGTAGCTTGTCAATTTGTCAACAATTACTTTAAGTCTGCCACCTGGCGTCACTTTATGTCATTTTGTCTACAACTGATGTCATTTTGTCTACAACTGATGTCACTTTATGTCATTTTGTCTACAACTGATGTCACTTTATGTCATTTTGTCTACAACTGATGTCACTTTGTCATTTTGTCTACAACTGATGTCATTTTGTCTACAACTGATGTCACTTTATGTCATTTTGTCTACAACTGATGTCACTTTATGCCATTTTGTCTACAACTGATGTCACTTTATGTCATTTTGTCTACAACTAATGTTACTTTATGTCATTTTGTCTACAACTGATGTCACTTTATGACATTTTGTCTACAACTAATGTCACTTTATGTCATTTTGTCTACAACTGATGTCATTTTGTCTACAACTGATGTCACTTTATGTCATTTTGTCTACAACTGATGTCACTTTATGAATGTCATTTTGTCTACAACTAATGTCACTTTATGACATTTTGTCTACAACTGATATTGTTTTGTCACCAGATCGTCCAGGTCTCCGTAACCTAGATCAAGTAGAGCGCATACAGAGCAAGTTAACTGAAGCCTTACAAAATCTCATCAACACCAGCCACAAGGAAGATTCAACACTCTTTGCCAAACTTCTCATGAAAACCACAGACCTTAGGACACTCAACACCCTGCATTCAGAGAAATCTATTGGTAAGTTTTAGGACACTCCTGCTTTCAGAGAAATCTAGTGTGTAATGTGCTATCACACATCTAGTGTGTAATGTGCTATCACACATGTAGTGTGTAATGTGCTATCACACATCTAGTGTGTAATGTGATATCACACATCTAGTGTGTAATGTGCTATCACACATCTAGTGTGTAATGTGCTATCACACATCTAGTGTGTAATGTGCTATCACACATCTAGTGTGTAATGTGCTATCACACATCTAGTGTGTAATGTGCTATCACACATCTAGTGTGTAATGTGCTACCACACATCTAGTGTGTAATGTGCTACCACACATCTAGTGTGTAATGTGCTATCACACATCTAGTGTGTAATGTGCTACCACACATCTAGTGTGTAATGTGCTATCACACATCTAGTGTGTAATGTGCTATCACACATCTAGTGTGTAATGTGCTACCACACATCTAGTGTGTAATGTGCTATCACACATCTAGTGTGTAATGTGCTACCACACATCTAGTGTGTAATGTGCTACCACACATCTAGTGTGTAATGTGCTATCACACATCTAGTGTGTAATGTGCTACCACACATCTAGTGTGTAATGTGCTACCACACATCTAGTGTGTAATGTGCTATCACACATCTAGTGTGTAATGTGCTATCACACATCTAGTGTGTAATGTGCTATCACACATCTAGTGTGTAATGTGCTATCACACATCTTGTGTGTAATGTGATATCACACATCTAGTGTGTAATGTGATATCACACATCTTGTGTGTAATGTGATATCACACATCTTGTGTGTAATGTGATATCACACATCTTGTGTGTAATGTGATACCACACATCTTGTGTGGGTCTGTATGTCTACAGGTCAAAAAAAAAAAAACCCTGACATTTTGACAGCCATTTGACCAGTGTCAGATGAGTTGACACCCTGTTATAATTTTACATGAGCTCAAATCAGATGATCATGTAGACACAGTGCATTAGTTGAGCTGACACAGTGCATTAGTTGAGCTGACACAGTGCATTAGTTGACCTGACACAGTGCATTAGTTGAGCTGACACAGTGCATTAGTTGAGCTGACACAGTGCATTAGTTGAGCTGACACAGTGCATTAGTTGAGCTGACACAGTGCATTAGTTGAGCTGACACAGTGCATTAGTTGAGCTGACACAGTGCATTAGTTGAGCTGACACAGTGCATTAGTTGAGCTGACACAGTGCATTAGTTGACCTGACACAGTGCATTAGTTGACCTGACACAGTGCATTTGTTGACCTGACACAGTGCATTAGTTGACCTGACACAGTGCATTAGTTGACCTGACACAGTGCATTAGTTGAGCTGACACATTAACTCTTGAGGTTGTGCGTCTGTCTACACAACATGGTTGATGTATTGACAGAAGATTTAAGTACATTTTTCTGTGTCAGTATTGAATGTGAATTGTCACATGTAGCTTTAGACATGTCACACTTACCCTTAGACATGTCACACATAGAACTGACCACACCTAACCTGTATTTTTAGCTGGACAGAGATCAAACCAGGACAGGCGAGAGTCACGCCACAATGCTGAAGATTCTGATATGGATTTCCAAGACTCCCTTAGCACCAGGTCAGTACCAGATGTAAGAGCTGTCTAATTGTCTTATGAACTAGTCTAATTGTCTGATGCACTAGTCTAATTGTCTGATGAACTAATCTAATTGTCTGATGAACTAGTCTAATTGTCTGATGAACTAGTCTGATGAACTAATCTAATTGTCTGATGAACTAGTCTAATTGTCTGATGAACTAGTCTAATTGTCTGATGAACTAGTCTAATTGTCTGATGAACTAGTCTAATTGTCTGATGAACTAGTCTGATGAACTAGTCTAATTGTCTGATGAACTAGTCTAATTGTCTGATGAACTAGTCTGATGAACTAGTCTAATTGTCTGATGAACTAGTCTAATTGTCTGATGAACTAGTCTGATGAACTAGTCTAATTGTCTGATGAACTAGTCTAATGAACTAGTCTAATTGTCTGATGAACTAGTCTGAAGAACTAATCTAATTGTCTGATGAACTAGTCTAATTGTCTGATGAACTAGTCTAATTGTCTGATGAACTAGTCTAATTGTCTGACGAACTAGTCTAATTGTCTGATGAACTAGTCTAATTGTCTGATGAACTAATCTAATTGTCTGATGAACTAGTCTAATTGTCTGATGAACTAGTCTAATTGTCTGATGAACTAGTCTAATTGTCTGATGAACTAGTCTAATTGTCTGATGAACTAGTCTAATTGTCTGATGAACTAGTCTAATTGTCTGATGAACTAGTCTAATTGTCTGATGAACTAGTCTAATTGTCTGATGAACTAGTCTAATTGTCTGATGAACTAGTCTAATTGTCTGATGAACTAGTCTAATTGTCTGATGAACTAGTCTAATTGTCTGATGAACTAGTCTAATTGTCTGATGAACTAGTCTAATTGTCTGATGAACTAGTCTAATTGTCTGATGAACTAGTCTAATTGTCTGATGAACTAGTCTAATTGTCTGATGAACTAGTCTAATTGTCTGATGAACTAATCTAATTGTCTGATGAACTAGTCTAATTGTCTGATGAACTAGTCTGATGAACTAGTCTAATTGTCTGATGAACTAGTCTAATTGTCTGATGAACTAGTCTGATGAACTAGTCTAATTGTCTGATGAACTAGTCTAATTGTCTGATGAACTAGTCTGATGAACTAGTCTAATTGTCTGATGAACTAGTCTGATGAACTAGTCTAATTGTCTGATGAACTAGTCTAATTGTCTGATGAACTAGTCTAATTGTCTGATGAACTAGTCTAATTGTCTGATGAACTAATCTAATTGTCTGATGAACTAGTCTAATTGTCTGATGAACTAGTCTGATGAACTAGTCTAATTGTCTGATGAACTAGTCTAATTGTCTGATGAACTAGTCTGATGAACTAGTCTAATTGTCTGATGAACTAATCTAATTGTCTGATGAACTAATCTAATTGTCTGATGAACTAGTCTGATGAACTAGTCTAATTGTCTGATGAACTAATCTAATTGTCTGATGAACTAATCTAATTGTCTGATGAACTAATCTAATTGTCTGATGAACTAGTCTAATTGTCTGATGAACTAATCTAATTGTCTGATGAACTAGTCTGATGAACTAGTCTAATTGTCTGATGAACTAGTCTGATGAACTAGTCTGATGAACTAGTCTAATTGTCTGATGAACTAATCTAATTGTCTGATGAACTAGTCTGATGAACTAGTCTAATTGTCTGATGAACTAGTCTGAAGAACTAATCTAATTGTCTGATGAACTAGTCTAATTGTCTGATGAACTAGTCTAATTGTCTGATGAACTAGTCTAATGAACTAATCTAATTGTCTGATGAACTACTGCAGATCTGGCAGATCCTCACCCACATTGTCTGAAAGCTCCATCATGACCATGACCTCTGGCTACAGTGGTGAGACAGACAGCAACAACCTGGTGGTTGGTCAGCGAATGGCACTGGACCCATTTGGTCATCAGCAGGTACCTACAGCTTTATTTGTTTTAGACCATTAGGTACCCTTAGCTTTATTTGTTGTTCTTTAGACTTAGACCATTGGGTACCAATAGCTTTATTTGTTTTAGACCATTAGGTACCCGTAGCTTTATTTCTTGTGCTTTAGACCATTGGGTACCTACAGCTTTATTTGTTTTAGACCATTAGGTACCCTTAGCTTTATTTGTTGTTCTTTAGACTTAGACCATTGGGTACCAATAGCTTTATTTGTTTTAGACCATTAGGTACCCGTAGCTTTATTTGTTGTGCTTTAGACCATTGGGTACCTACAGCTTTATTTGTTTTAGACCATTGGGTACCCGTAGCTTTATTTCTTGTGCTTTAGACCATTGGGTACCCACAGCTTTATTTGCTTTAGACCCTCCAGGTCACAGATTGTCTGACTGGTATTGTTGCTAATACTGTCAAATGTCTGTCTGTCTGACTGGCATTGCTGCTAATACTGTCAAATGTTTGTCTGTCTGACTGGTATTGTTGCCAATACTGTCAAATGTCTGTCTGACTGGTATTGTTGCTAATACTGTCAAATGTCTGTCTGACTGGCATTGCTGCTAATACTGTCAAATGTTTGTCTGACTGGCATTGCTGCTAATACTGTCAAATGTCTGTCCCAGGTTGTGCTGCGTACTCCATATGGGACATTTTTCCGTGAGGAGCCATCAGGTTTTTATGGCATGATGACAGACCAGCCCCGGCGCAGGTGTAACACGCTAGATCGGGACACGCTAACACGGCCTCGTCTACACACCATTGAGGAGGGAAACCGTAGGCGCTACACGTTAGACAAGGACTACATCAACAAGATGGTCCACAGGTGGGTTAGGTTAGAGTAAGCGTTACATAAGGTAGGGTATTTGAAGAATAAACATTTCATAAGTGATCTAAAAAATAATTAAATAATTGTTTCATATTTTCATCAAATTGAGGTCAACAGTTTTTTAAACTCCAATTTGCATGTTGAAAATTTTAAGCATTAAAAAAAAAAAATGTCTTGCTTAAACAGTGGTCAAGAGTTGCCAGAAGAACTATTAAAATAGTTTTTTTTTTTCCTTAAAAATTTTCTTGGTCAAAATAAAACGTGTACAAAAATGACCATTCTGTCAGAAGGGGTTAAACAGGGTTAAGGCAAGTGCTACCGTGAATTTAATTGTAGGCCAGTCCCTGAGGACTGTAGGCCAGTCCCTGAGGACTGTAGGCCAGTCCCTGAGGACTGTAGGCCAGTCCCTGAGGACTGTAGGCCAGTCCCTGAGGACTGTAGGCCAGTCCCTCAGGAGTGTAGGCCAGTCCCTCAGGAGTGTAGGCTAGTGCAGCATCTAAAATTTAATCTAAGTAGGTATTATTTAATTTTCAGTCTAATTAAATCTAAATTTCAATCTAATTAGCTACTATCTAAATCTCTATCTAGTTATCTAAATCTCTATCCAATTAGATACTATCTAAATTAGCTATAAGATTATTTAGTAAGTTGAGTGTTGTCAGTCTGGCCAATCGGCATTTATTAAAGAAAATATTTAAATAAATATGGTAGGTTTTTTTTTATTTACATTGATTGCTCTGCAGTGTTTCTATCTTCCCTCTCAACTTTAAACAGAATACATTTATTTTTAAAAGTACACCTTTAAGAACAAATGTACAATAAGTTACAAACCTTAGAGTGCACTAAAATCATCACACTATTCCATTGAATCATTGCTGACCAAATTTTATTTACATATTAGTAGGGGAACTTTCACCAGTACTCTACATTTATTAAAAATATTTTATGTGAGTACATTTAGAAAACCAATCGGTCAATTATAAACATTTATTAAAAAATATTTTATGTGAGTACATTTAGAAAACCAATTGGTCAATTATAAACATTTATTAAAAAATATTTTATGTGAGTACATTTAGAAAACCAATCGGTCAATTATAAACCTGAGTGCATAAGTGCCACGAGGTGGGGGTGCGGAGCACACCGGTTAAGGGGTCATCTATTTATGACGTCCACACGGGGGGGGGGGGGGGGGGGGGTCTAAAAAAAAAGGCTCCACATGGGAGGGGGAAGTCCAAAAAGTTTGTGGGCGTCATAAATGGATGACCCCCAACTAGACTTACAAGAAAACTATGCTTAACTTGCCATGTAAACTAGACTTACAAGAAAACTATGCTTAACTAATAACTTGCCATGTAAACTAGACTTACAAGAAAACTATGGTTAACTTGCCATGTAAACTAGACTTACAAGAAAACTATGGTTAACTTGCCATGTAAACTAGACTTACAAGAAAACTATGGTTAACTTGCCATGTAAACTAGACTTACAAGAAAACTATGGTTAACTTGCCATGTAAACTAGACTTACAAGAAAACTATGCTTAACTTGCCATGTAAACTAGACTTATAAGAAAACTATGGTTAACATTTGATGCTAAGGCTTGAGACTAAATTCTTTCAAACTGCAAACATCCAATGTTTTAAAATGATCATTTGGAGCCAAATAGTTACCACCAGTCAGTGTCCAATGTCTATTTTGTGGTCATAGGAAAGTAGTGGCTCTAGTTTATAAATAGAATCTAGAATTTAAAATGTAGATCTAGATTTTATTAAAGTTACCTTTTCAAACCTGAAGGTCTATAGGGCAAGTTAAGTAGTAGAGTTGACTTGTTTCTGTGACCTCTGCCTATGAAATATCAAGAGATATTGTGGCCAGCACTAAGCCCAGCTTTACTTAACTTTACTTTCCCAGGGACACTACTGACTTGAACCCCGATTTTAACTCGAGACTTAAGGGTTAGCTGTCCAGCTCTCTACCACTATACTACAGATCTAGATTATCTTAATTAAATATAGATTTATATTCTATAATCTATATGCTGCAACAGTCTTTTGTGTTAACACTTTCGACATGTTAACTATACACAGTATAGTATACAGTAATTTAGTATAGATGTATATCTAGATTCTACAGCTGTATAAGTATAATCTAGACATTCTAGATTTAGATCTAGATATCTAGATCTAGAAGAGAAAAAAAAATTTCGCCTTAACCCTGAAAGTTAATTTTATCAGAACATGTTTATTGTATGGGGGGGGGGGGTGACCTACTCACTTATTCGATTGGTTTTTTTTTTCCTTCCTAGACGTTATACTACAGATGTAGATAGTTAAGTAGGCCTAGATCTGTACAGTAGATCTAGAATCTATAGATAGACTAGGCCAGCCTACAAGTACATGTCGCAAGTGTGTAAACGTAAACGCCATGCTAGAATTTAGAATAAAAAATAAAAAGGATCCAAAAACTGTCTGCACTGTTGTTTTTTTAACGCGGCTAATCAAGAAATGTTCCAGCGTTGAATAGTGTAATTGGTAATGCATCATGACAGTTGGTTCATTTCTTGTTAATCGCGAGTGTACAACTCCACCCCTCCCCCTCTTATCTGTTTTTTCCTCCAACATTGTCGACGTATCTTAGTTCGCTCGCCATTTCTGATGCCTCTAGCCTAGTCACCCCATTCATTAAAGAGAAAATGGTTTTCAGCAGACGAGAGTTCCATATTGAACTTCTCTACAGTACGTCTAAAAATAGTTGACCCAAAAACACCGCAACTGTACTTCAATATTCTTTACATCCGGGCGTTCGTATTCTTTACATCCGGGCGTTTGGGTCTGTTAGGGCCTGATTTGCCGTGCACTGTTCCAATATCTTACTGTTCAAGTTTTGTCTAACTCGAGAATACACATTTATCTATAAGATGAATCAGTGCACCTAGCACATTAAGCACCTAAGACGAGTTTACTAATTATGTAAATACAGACCTACAGGTGTGGGGCTTGAATTTGATCCACACCAGTGTGACACCAGCGTTCTTCTAACTGGAAGGCGGGGCTAGGGCTATGGGGAGGCGGAGTTACTGCGAGCATAGGCGGGGTTAGTACAAGGGGATGCGGGGTTACTGCGAGCATAGGCGGGGTTAGTACAAGGGGAGGCGGGGTTACTGCGAGCATAGGCGGGGTTAGTACAAGGGGAGGCGGGGTTACTGCGAGCATAGGCGGGGTTAGTACAAGGGGATGCGGGGTTACTGCGAGCATAGGCGGGGTTAGTACAAGGGGATGCGGGGTTACTGCGAGCATAGGCGGGGTTAGTACATAATTTTGATGATTTTTGTTTGCCTCAGACTGAGTGACAGACTTGAGACAAGAAACGCTGCCCGAGGGGACTCAGTGCCAGCCTCCATATCCAACTCAGCTGCCAGCTCCCCCATACAAGAGGAGGGGGGCCACATGTACCCCGGTACCCCCCACACGGGCTTTACACCAATAGCTGAGCCAGATGGCAGCCTCCAGCCCAGGACAAGCCCTCTAGCTGGCTGTGATGCCATTTTAGCTGCTGCAAGGGCTGGCTCTTCGCCTGGCTCGCCAAAATCTAGGTATGTATCACCAGACCAGCACACGTGTCGCTACCTGACCAGCACATGTGTCACATTATTTGACCAGTACATATGTCACATGACTTGACCAGCACATATGTCACATGACTTGACCAGCACATATGTCACAGTACTTGACCAACACATGTCACATGACTTGACCAGCACATGTACTACTAAGATGAATTGTTTGAGCATTAGCTTAACAGTAGCATGCAGCCACAACAACATTGTAAATTTGTTTGTTATTGTTTAGGTCAAGGTCAGGTTCACTGACCCAAGATGATTATGCAAACATGCGCCCGCGCTGTTACAGTTTCCACATCAACAGTGATGGCAGAGCTGCCCGCATGCCACAACATCGCCTGGTGACAGGTGAGGACAAGCCAGGTGAGGCTGGTCAGTACCTGAGTCCAGACATGAGGCGGGGAAGTGTGGGGGCTGCCTACGGTCTATACAACAGGAAGCAGTCACTGCTGGTTGACCGTCCACTGTCATACGTCAGGGGAGTGTCAGATATGGACAGCAGACACAGCCTTCCTGTCCTAGAGGTAAGTTTTGCTTTCTTCAAGCTTTATACAACTTTGTTTAGAGTTGATTCAAGTTTAACCAAACCAATTGTAAGCACCAAAAAGCCATGAGATTTGTAGTAGTGTAGCTGGTATTATAAAAAGCCATGAGATTTGTAGTAGTGTATCTGGTATTATTTTTGTCCTAGCACCACCTACCTGATGGCTCCATCTATGGCATGCAACTGACCCCTGAGATGGCAGCACAGCACCCTACCATGTGGCACCAGGCTGTTGGCATGTCACTGCCAGCGTTACAGAGGTCTGAGAGAACAGCTGGACCCAGAGAGTGGGACCTACAGGACCTAACTAAGGCCAGGGACTTTCAGCAGAGGGAGCTAGCCAATAGACACGCCATGAAAGGCTCCTCCAGTACCACGCTGGGCTCAGCTGATGTGGCTCCAATGGAAGCACACAAACCTGAGCCACACACGGGAGCCACCAAGTGTGAGAAACAGAACAATGGCTCAATGCTTGGCTCTCATTCACCACTTCTCACTATATCTGCCGGCATTAAAATGGCCTTGAACTCTGGTCATTTGAACCCTGGATTTATGAGCAACTCTCCTAAAGCCCCTTCACTGGATTGCAGCAGTCTGTACGGGGACACGCCCACTGCAGGCAGGTCCAAGGCCTCCAGCCCCCAGACCAACCCCAGCTCCAAAAGCACATCAGAGAGAAGCTCCCCCCTCAATGATGAAATGGCGGCCACAGAAAGCTTTGGCCACAAGAAGTTTGACCGTCTGAGGAAAGAGAAAGGGCACCAGGAGATGGGTGGAGCAGAGGAGCACGTGTCAGGCATCAAGGTGGAGAGGATGGATCAGGAGGACATGCTGGTGGAGCTGAAGGTGGAGGTGAGCGGCCTCAAGTCTGAAAGAAAGTCTCCCTACATAGACAGCCTCTCCCCCTCCCCTAACAGTGAACGTCCTAAACTGTCGCTAAAGAAGCTCATCCCAACCTGCTGGCCCAGCTGACCAATGGGGGCAGCAAGCAGGCCTCCCCCAGGGGGGCAGCTACCTCGAGCCCTGGCTACACGTGGGCAGGTCAACTGGTCAATGCTGCACCCTCTCAACACTTCAAACATCCGCACTACCCGCATCCATCCTTAGCTGGATTACATAATGTTGGCAGCCAGTCTGGCAACTTCCAAGCTCCCCTGGCCATGCAACAGCTGGCAGGTCAGGTCAGCTGTGAGCAGAGGTCCTCTGGCTGTGAGCAGAGGTCCTCTGGCTGTGAGCAGAGGTCCTCCAACAGCAAGGAAGAGTTTCATGCAGCTGCTGTCTCCCACCTCAAAGACAAGCTGCTGCGCAAGTACGACAGCATGGAGAACCTCAGCAAGGTGGGCAAAGACTCCCAGGACGTGCCCCAGAGGCTGGGCAGCAACTCCCAGGACGTGCCCCAGAGGCTGGGCAGCAACTCCCAGGACGTGCCCCAGAGGCTGGGCAGCAACTCCCAGGACGTGCCCCAGAGGCTGGGCAGCAACTCCCAGGACGTGCCCCAGAGGCTGGGCAGCAACTCCCCCACCACCAGCTCCTGCACTGCAGATCTAAACAAAGAGCTGGCCACCAAACTGACCCTCAACGCTTCCAGAACTTTCCCGCATTCACTCAGTGCTGATGCCCTGGCCTGCCCCTTCTCTGCCCATCAGCCCCCATCCCATCTACATAATTCTCCGCATTCAGGGGTGTTCCTGCCCCCCAGCACCCCCCACCAGGGGTCTCAGTTGAACCTGATGTTGTCTCAGACTGGTGAAGCTGAATATCATTCCATGCTGCGCAACTTGAGGAACAACAACCTCCACCACAATCCTCCAACCTTTACGGCTGGCCACAGCAGAACCACATGTACTGAGAGGAAGTGAGTAGCTCATCATATATGTCTGACATCATACATGTTCATGTCTGACATACATCATACATAACTGACATCATACATGTTCATGTCTGACATACATCATTCATGTGTGACATACATCATTCATGTGTGACATACATCATTCATGTCTGACATACATCATACATACCTGACATCATACATGTTCATGTCTGACATACATCATACATGTCTGACATACATCATTCATGTGTGACATACATCATTCATGTCTGACATACATCATACATATCTGACATCATACATGTTCATGTCTGACGTACATCATACATAACTATCATCATACATGTTCATGTGTGACATACATCATTCATGTGTGACATACATCATTCATGTCTGACATCATACATGTTCATGTCTGACATCATACATGTTCATGTCTGACATACATCATTCATGTCTGACATACATCATTCATGTCTGACATACATCATACATATCTGACATCATACATGTTCATGTCTGACGTACATCATACATAACTGACATCATACATGTTCATGTGTGACATACATCATTCTTGTGTGACATACATCATTCATGTCTGACATACATCATACATAACTGACATCATACATGTTCATGTCTGACATCATACATGTTCATGTCTGACATACATCATTCATGTCTGACATACATCATTCATGTCTGACATACATCATACATAACTGACATCATACATGTTCATGTCTGACATACATCATACATAACTGACATCATACATGTTCATGTCTGACATACATGTTCATGTCTGACATACATCATTCATGTCTGACATACATCATACATAACTGACATCATACATGTTCATGTCTGACATACATCATTCATGTCTGACATACATCATACATAACTGACATCATACATAACTGACATCATACATGTTCATGTCTGACATACATCATACATGTCTGACATTGTACACCCTTCATGTCTGATGTTATATTGGCGTCTACAGTTCATGAAACATTTTGTCTAACACCAAATCATAATATTTTAAATGGCAATCAGTTTGTAGTTGTTGTTTATATATACTCACACATACACACCCATAGTCCCACACACCCATAGTCCCACACACCTATACTCACACACACCCATAGTCCCACACACCCATAGTCCCACACACCTATACTCACACACACCCATAGTCCCACACACCCATAGTCCCACACACCTATACTCACACACACACCCATAGTCCCACACACCCATAGTCCCACACACCTATACTCACACACACACCCATAGTCCAACACACCCATAGTCCCACACACCTATACTCACACACACTCATAGTCCCACACACCCAGCTAGAAGTTACCAATGGGTTGTTTATTTCAGATTTGACCATGGGCTACCATTGAACCTGACCTCCAGAGTTGAAGATGGACGCTGCATGGTTGGGTCATCCTCCCCATCAAACAGTCCTCAGATGCCTGCCTAAAGGTCACCAGGTCACCAGGTCTAGAGATCCAGGACTTCAACACTAAATGTCACCAGGTCACCAGGTCCAGAGATCCAGGACTTCAACACTAAATGTCACCAGGTCTAGAGATCCAGGACTTCAACACTAAATGTCAGGTCTAGAGATCCAGGACTTCAACACTAAATGTCAGGTCTAGAGATCCAGGACTTCAACACTAAATGTCACCAGGTCTAGAGATCCAGGACTTCAACACTAAATGTCACCAGGTCTAGAGATCCAGGACTTCAACACTAAATGTCAGGTCTAGAGATCCAGGACTTCAACACTAAATGTCACCAGGTCTAGAGATCCAGGACTTCAACACTAAATGTCACCAGGTCTAGAGATCCAGGACTTCAACACTAAATGTCACCAGGTCTAGAGATCCAGGACTTCAACACTAAATGTCACCAGGTCTAGAGATCCAGGACTTCAACACTAAATGTCACCAGGTCTAGAGATCCAGGACTTCAACACTAAATGTCACCAGGTCTAGAGATCCAGGACTTCAACACTAAATGTCACCAGGTCTAGAGATCCAGGACTTCAACACTAAATGTCACCAGGTCTAGAGATCCAGGACTTCAACACTAAATGTCACCAGGTCTAGAGATCCAGGACTTCAACACTAAATGTCACCAGGTCTAGAGATCCAGGACTTCAACACTAAATGTCAGGTCTAGAGATCCAGGACTTCAACACTAAATGTCACCAGGTCTAGAGATCCAGGACTTCAACACTAAATGTCACCAGGTCTAGAGATCCAGGACTTCAACACTAAATGTCACCAGGTCTAGAGATCCAGGACTTCAACACTAAATGTCACCAGGTCTAGAGATCCAGGACTTCAACACTAAATGTCACCAGGTCTAGAGATCCAGGACTTCAACACTAAATGTCAGGTCTAGAGATCCAGGACTTCAACACTAAATGTCACCAGGTCTAGAGATCCAGGACTTCAACACTAAATGTCACCAGGTCTAGAGATCCAGGACTTCAACACTAAATGTCAGGTCTAGAGATCCAGGACTTCAACACTAAATGTCACCAGGTCTAGAGATCCAGGACTTCAACACTAAATGTCAGGTCTAGAGATCCAGGACTTCAACACTAAATGTCACCAGGTCTAGAGATCCAGGACTTCAACACTTAATGTCACCAGGTCTAGAGATCCAGGACTTCAACACTAAATGTCAGGTCTAGAGATCCAGGACTTCAACACTAAATGTCAGGTCTAGAGATCCAGGACTTCAACACTAAATGTCACCAGGTCTAGAGATCCAGGACTTCAACACTAAATGTCACCAGGTCTAGAGATCCAGGACTTCAACACTAAATGTCAGGTCTAGAGATCCAGGACTTCAACACTAAATGTCACCAGGTCTAGAGATCCAGGACTTCAACACTAAATGTCACCAGGTCTAGAGATCCAGGACTTCAACACTAAATGTCACCAGGTCTAGAGATCCAGGACTTCAACACTAAATGTCACCAGGTCTAGAGATCCAGGACTTCAACACTAAATGTCACCAGGTCTAGAGATCCAGGACTTCAACACTAAATGTCACCAGGTCTAGAGATCCAGGACTTCAACACTAAATGTCACCAGGTCTAGAGATCCAGGACTTCAACACTAAATGTCACCAGGTCTAGAGATCCAGGACTTCAACACTAAATGTCACCAGGTCTAGAGATCCAGGACTTCAACACTAAATGTCACCAGGTCTAGAGATCCAGGACTTCAACACTAAATGTCAGGTCTAGAGATCCAGGACTTCAACACTAAATGTCACCAGGTCTAGAGATCCAGGACTTCAACACTAAATGTCACCAGGTCTAGAGATCCAGGACTTCAACACTAAATGTCACCAGGTCTAGAGATCCAGGACTTCAACACTAAATGTCACCAGGTCTAGAGATCCAGGACTTCAACACTAAATGTCACCAGGTCTAGAGATCCAGGACTTCAACACTAAATGTCAGGTCTAGAGATCCAGGACTTCAACACTAAATGTCACCAGGTCTAGAGATCCAGGACTTCAACACTAAATGTCACCAGGTCTAGAGATCCAGGACTTCAACACTAAATGTCAGGTCTAGAGATCCAGGACTTCAACACTAAATGTCACCAGGTCTAGAGATCCAGGACTTCAACACTAAATGTCAGGTCTAGAGATCCAGGACTTCAACACTAAATGTCACCAGGTCTAGAGATCCAGGACTTCAACACTTAATGTCACCAGGTCTAGAGATCCAGGACTTCAACACTAAATGTCAGGTCTAGAGATCCAGGACTTCAACACTAAATGTCAGGTCTAGAGATCCAGGACTTCAACACTAAATGTCAGGTCTAGAGATCCAGGACTTCAACACTAAATGTCAGGTCTAGAGATCCAGGACTTCAGCACTAAATGTCACCAGGTCACCAGGTCTAGAGATCCAGGACTTCAACACTAAATGTCAACAGGTCTAGAGATCCAGGACTTCAACACTAAATGTCAACAGGTCTAGAGATCCAGGACTTCAACACTAAATGTCACCAGGTCACCAGGTCTAGAGATCCAGGACTTCAACACTAAATGTCAACAGGTCTAGAGATCCAGGACTGCAACACTAAATGTCACCAGGTCACCAGGTCTAGAAATCCAGGACTTCAACACTAAATGTCACCAGGTCACCAGGTCTAGAGATCCAGGACTTCAACACTAAATGTCACCAGGTCTAGAGATCCAGGACTTCAACACTAAATGTCAGGTCTAGAGATCCAGGACTTCAACACTAAATGTCAGGTCTAGAGATCCAGGACTTCAACACTAAATGTCACCAGGTCACCAGGTCTAGAGATCCAGGACTTCAACACTAAATGTCAACAGGTCTAGAGATCCAGGACTTCAACACTAAATGTCACCAGGTCTAGAGATCCAGGACTTCAACACTAAATGTCAGGTCTAGAGATCCAGGACTTCAACACTAAATGTCAGGTCTAGAGATCCAGGACTTCAACACTAAATGTCAGGTCTAGAGATCCAGGACTTCAACACTAAATGTCAGGTCTAGAGATCCAGGACTTCAACACTAAATGTCACCAGGTCTAGAGATCCAGGACTTCAACACTAAATGTCAACAGGTCTAGAGATCCAGGACTTCAACACTAAATGTCACCAGGTCTAGAGATGTAGGACTTCAACACTAAATGTCACCAGGTCTAGAGATCCAGGACTTCAACACTAAATGTCAGGTCTAGAGATCCAGGACTTCAACACTAAATGTCACCAGGTCTAGAGATGTAGGACTTCAACACTAAATGTCACCAGGTCTAGAGATCCAGGACTTCAACACTAAATGTCAGGTCTAGAGATCCAGGACTTCAACACTAAATGTCACCAGGTCTAGAGATCCAGGACTTCAACCCTAAATGTCACCAGGTCTAGAGATCCAGGACTTCAACCCTAAATGTCAACAGACACACACTCAAAAACTTGGTCCAGCAGAGAGAGGTGCTACTGTCCACACACTCATGGGCTACAGAGGAAAACTATAACCTTTGAACTGACACCTTGCTACAGAGGAAACTATAACCTTTGAACTGACACCTTGCTACAGAGGAAACTATAACCTTTGAACTGACACCTTGCTACAGAGGAAACTATAACCTTTGAACTGACACCTTGCTACAGAGGAAACTATAACCTTTGAACTGACACCTTGCTACAGAGGAAAACTATAACCTTTGAACTGACACCTTGCTACAGAGGAAAACTATAACCTTTGAACTGACACCTTGCTACAGAGGAAAACTATAACCTTTGAACTGACACCTTGCTACAGAGGAAAACTATAACCTTTGAACTGACACCTTGCTACAGAGGAAAACTATAACCTTTGAATTGACACCTTGGAGTCTGGCATTTTTTGATACTATGATGTCATTGAGTACAACCCAACCCAACCCCCCCCCCCCCCTTCCCCCCCCCCCCCCCACCAGCCTGATACTGTGATGTCATCAGCAGCTCAACTCTTTCCCCCCCCCCCAGCTATGATGGCTGCTGGTTTCGGTGATACAAGCAAATGGCATTTATAATTTAATGGCCTAGAAAAATGTTGCAACACAGACATTGATGTAAATCTTTTCTAATATCTAACTTCAAATGGCAAAGAAAATAGTTTACTTTTCACTTCATATTCCAGAATATTATTTTTTAGCATTAGTGAAATTTTATTTTGTATAAACTATCAAGCCCTAATAATGGGGATGAGTTTCAGCTCTGAGAGTGTTGAAACCATAAGTGAATTCAACTTGTGTCTGCTAAATTTGTCAACAATAATGTCATTGTTAAAGTTACATGAATTCATGTTCTTGACTTTCATCTTTTTTATTTCTTGAACATTTGATTGCTGTAAATATTTTGTTAATTTATGAGAAATTGGGTGTAAGTGTAAGATGGTGACTGATTTGGTGTAAGTAAGATGGTGACTGAATGTAAGATAATTAACTAGGTGTAAGTAAGATGGTGACTGAATGTAAGATAATTAACTAGGTGTAAGTAAGAAGGGGACAGTGTAAGATGGTGACTGGGGTATATGCCAACTTTAACTGGCAGGCAGCACACATTTTTCTAAAGTATAAGGCAAGATCTGATTGGTTGAAATCTGCTTGTGAAGATTGTGTCAGGCTGTAGGTGTATTTGTGATGATTGTATTGGCCTGTATATTTGTGATGAATGTATTGGCCTGTAGGTGTATTTGTGATGATTGTATTGGCCTGTAGGTGTATTTGTGATGATTGTATTGGCCTGTATGTGTATTTGTGATGATTGTATTGGCCTGTAGGTCTATTTGTGATGATTGTATTGGCCTGTAGGTGTATTTGTGATGATTGTATTGGCCTGTAGATGTATTTGTGCTGATTGTATTGGCCTGTATGTGTATTTGTGATGATTGTATTGGTCTGTAGGTGTATTTGTGATGATTGTATTGGCCTGTAGGTGTATTTGTGATGATTGTATTGGCCTGTAGGTGTATTTGTGATGATTGTATTGGCCTGTATGTGTATTTGTGATGATTGTATTGGCCTGTAGGTCTATTTGTGATGATTGTATTGGCCTGTAGGTGTATTTGTGATGATTGTATTGGCCTGTAGATGTATTTGTGATGATTGTATTGGCCTGTATGTGTATTTGTGATGATTGTATTGGTCTGTAGGTGTATTTGTGATGATTGTATTGGCCTGTAGGTGTATTTGTGATGATTGTATTGGCCTGTAGGTCTACAAATTATTTCCTTATCGGTGACCAGATATTTATTTTCTTCCTGTACTGGTGCATGTTCAATTATTTTGTGATTTATTTTTTCTGTTGTGAAGAGAAATAATTTGATTTCAAATTGTTTGATAATGTAGAGTTGAACAAGTAAAGAAACAAAACAAAGATTTTTTATCCATCATCATCCACCATGTACATCATCTAGTACATCATCCACCATGGACATCATCTAGTTCATCATCCACCATGGACATCATCTAGTTCATCATCCACCATGGACATCATCTAGTTCATCATCCACCATAATCTAGTTCATCATCCAACATGGACATCATCTAGTTCATCATCCACCATGGACATCATCTAGTTCATCATCCACCATAATCTAGTTCATCATCCACCATGGACATCTAGTTTATCATCCACCGTGTACATCATCCACCATGTGTTGTGAGTGGTTGGTAGTACATTGTTGAGTGTTGTGTGAGTTGCTTTGGTCTGGAGCTTGCTTGTCTCATGTATGATTGAAGTCTGGAGCTTGCTTGTCTTAAGTTTGATTGAAATCTGGAGTTTGCTTGTCTTAAGTTTGATTGAAGTCTGGAGCTTGCTTGTCTTAAGTTTGATTGAAGTCTGGAGCTTGCTTGTCTCATGTATGATTCTTATAATATGTCAAGTTAGAAGACAGTCTACCATTCTCTTGTCATCCCCACTTGTAAATATCCATTGAACTATGTGCACCTGATAAACATTGACTAGTCTTTGGGGAATACAGCCTTGATCACAGGCTATCATTACTACTGACATTTATTCATTTTATTAGTCTGTTCCACATTTATTTGACTGAACTAATTTTTGCCTATGTTCAAATAATGCAATGTATTGAAGTCTTGTAAGAAAGTCTGTAGATGTTGTTGGTTGGTAACTTTTATTTGATTATGTAGACCTTTGGAATGGTCAAATAGTCTTAATTTGTCATTTATTGGTAACTGTGAACCAAATACTACCCTATTTGTTGATGTGATTCATCTCTGGTGTGTGATTAACATTTCATGTGTCAAAACTTGAGATGTAAGCAGGACTATCTGGTGTGTGATTCAAGGGTCTGCCCACACTAGAACTCAATGCTGGCCACTAGTATTTGATCTAGTCAAGCAAAGGTTCCATAGATTGATAGCTTTTTAAATATTGATTGATTGATCTTGTTTGTTGTACTGACTGTATTTATTTTAAACCAAACTCTCAGATTAAGAATGTCTGCTTGTATACAGGCTCAGGACCAGATAACACTTGTTCTAGTTCTCACTAGACCTTCTTCGCCTGTATACACGTTTGGGCTGATGACTTCAACAGAAAAAATATTCAGCTCTTCTTTGTGCTCAGTTAATTCTCATATTTTACTGACTGATAACATGTAATGTCCTTGTCTAAATGTCCTGAAATATCTGTGCTAATGTCCTTGTCTAAATGTCCTTAAATATCTGTGCTAATGTCCTTGTCTAAATGTCCTTAAATATCTGTGCTAATGTCCTTGTCTAAATGTCCTTAAATATCTGTGCTAATGTCCTTGTCTAAATGTCCTTAAATATCTGTGCTAATGTCCTTGTCTAAATGTCCTTAAATATCTGTGCTAATGTCCTTGTCTAAATGTCCTTAAATATCTGTGCTAATGTCCTTGTCTAAATGTCCTGAAATATCTGTGCTAATGTCCTTGTCTAAATGTCCTGAAATATCTGTGCTAATGTCCTTGTCTAAATGTCCTGAAATATCTGTGCTAATGTTCTTGTCTAAATGTCCTGAAATATCTGTGCTAATGTCCTTGTCTAAATGTCCTGAAATATCTGTGAGCTGGTATTGGCCTACACTACCTTGACCTTGGTGGGAGACTAGAGAAATTTATTTATTCCTAATGTTACTGTTGCCCGGTTATTTGTCTCATCCGGTTCCCACATCCAGTATGTCTAACCAGTAGGATGATGGCTTGAATGAAATGAGTGACAACACATTTGAAGCTCATCACTCATAAAGTTGATAGTTGCTAACAGTAAGCCAACTAGAAATAATTGTATGTGTGTTTAGACATTGACATATTTCAAATAAGTATTTACATTTAAGGCTAGTTTGTTATTTGTTTTTTATTCAAATTTCCACTTTTAAAATGAATATTATTTATGTATATGTGTAACTTGTAAGGCAGTTGTTTAAGTTTGTTATGGCTACATTATGTATATGTAACTTGTAAGGCAGTTGTTTAAGTTTGTTAAGGCTACATTATGTATAGATATATGTTAGGCAGTTGTTTTGTTACTAATAGCTGCAAACTACTAACAGTGGACACTGGTCAACTTGACTCAATAGAGTGGACACTGGTCAACTTGACTCAATAGAGTGGACACTGGTCAACTTGACTCAGTAGAGTGGACACTGGTCAACTTGACTCAGTGGAGTGGACACTGGTCAACTTGACTCAGTGGAGTGGACACTGGTCAACTTGACTCAGTGGAGTGGACACTGGGTCAATCTGACAGTAGTCTACATCAGACACTGGTCAATTTTACATGTCAACTCGACATGGGATTGTGTAGAGCAACTTTGACAACTGAATATGAACGTGATTTCGTTGATGTGAGACTTGACACATGTTTATCAATTCAATTTTAATAAATTATTTTTGTCCCATCCAATCCATTGTTTTTGTTTTCAATTATTTCCGTGGTCTAGCGTCTGCCAAAGCTAGTGGCGCCTCTAGACCACAGTAGCTGGTAGTGCATGTAGACTGACATGATTTGATCTAGTATCTGACCATGACGTCACTTGATCTAATATCTGAGAATGACCACACAATATGATGTGACTGACAGTTGAGATGGGTCCATAAAATCACCACGAGAAGCTGATTATTTTTAGCACAATTTCCATACGGACAATTGCGATTATTAACTCGTCATGGATGGATGGATGGATGTGTGTCCGCAGCTTTAAGTGGTATCTCCTCCTCAACGAAGCAATATCGAGGACTAGTTCCAAAGCAAATATGTTAAGCAAGTTCCAAAGATGATTGTGGGCCAAAAAAATTCCCGGAATTCCTTCCTGGATTTCCCGGAAAAGCCAAAAAACCTCGAACAAATGCAGTTTTTGCTCCATATCTCGGCAACCAGACCACTTAGCGACTTGAAACATTTACCAATCGATTCCTGCCATAATTTAAACCAATATTGCCGAAGAAAGTTTTCAAAAATATCCTTTCGTTCGGTCACAAATTTTTTTAAAATATATTTTAAACTGAGCATCTTGTAGGCCTAGTTTTAATTTAAACTGAGCATCGTGTAGGTTTTTAGCGCAAAGCGCTGAGGTTCGAAAGGATTTTACCATAGCGAATGAGCGGAGGTTTGAAAGGATTTTTACGTAGGTCTGTGAATTCTAAAAAATTAATTAAGGAAATTGCGCTTAAATTGTCACTAGACTTTTTATTAACTTGTTTTAAAAGCATCGAAAGTAAATTCCTAGATTTTAAATAATGCCCCTCCTCCTCCCTTAACGGTGAACAGAAAAAAAGTCAGTTTTTGCTAGGATAAAAAAAGTCACAGTGGAAAGATTTTATCGGGAAAAAAGTCACAGAAATAAAATCACAGAAAAAAGTCACAAAAATCTTTTTAGAAATATTTGTATTAATTTGTTAAGAATTGTAAACTTTGTGTATGTTTATTGTTGTGGGTTGTATTTTTTTTATACCATAAATTATTTATAGACGTTAAAGTATTATGATTTATGACAATTGTAAGTAAAAAATACTCTAAGATAATTAACACAACAATCTCAACTTTTGTTACGTATTTAGTTAAATACGCGGTAGAAAAGTTAATTATAAAAGAAATTTAGGCACATTTTACCGTAGGCTATTCTCTGGTCGGCCTCTCCTCAGTAGGCATTGTCCGAACATATTTTATGTTGTTGACGTTATGCGTCAATGACAGCCTTTGAACCGTGTCGGCTCTCTGTTTTGATCCTAAGTTTTGTTATGTAATGAGCGTGACTAATGTTGACAGTAAAGGTGTTTGAACTAAACATAACTATTGTTGCCATGAGTTGAGGGCAGCAAGTCAGATGAACTTACCATTTCACGGTAATTTAATATTGATATTTTTAAAAAAAAACCACTTTGGAGCATTCTATTAAATGCTACTAATTAGTACTAATCTTAAGTTTAAAATAATTACAATCTACATACTTCATAACAAATATTTGTAGATGAATTGTAAAAATTACTATGCGTAAACAGCCTACACACATTACATTTAATTAATCCTAAGTTAATTTGCACTCTCTAAATATTTAATACATACAAGTATTAACAAATATCATGCAAATATATATTTGTGACTTTTTTTCTGTTACTTTTTTTCCTACAATCCCCTTACCACCACCCAACAGTTTGTCTAGAGGTTGCTGACGTCAGCACTTTCTGACAGCCGGACGAAACCCGATCGATGCAGTTAAAAATGGCGGCGGTTCTATCAACTAAAGTACGAGCCAGGCATTAGACAAT